TGGATCGTTAATGTGCTTTTCACCCATCCTTGAGCCAGCAGAAAGTTATACTGGCACAACATTTACTGCCTTCATTGCTGAACTTTATCCTGCCTCTAGTGCATAGGCTTTGAATCACAGCTGAGTGGTACAGTCCAGATTTTGAATGTGCAGAGCACGATAAGCAAAGAGTCCTCTGACTTTACTATCATCCCTCTTATATCACCATCTGGTGGGAAAAACATCGCCAGTCACAGGGACGGTATGCTTTCAGGATGCTGTCATTTCTAGAAACCTTCTTATGCCTCTCCTCCTCCATCACTTTTGGTCATGACTGAGCTGCATAACATTAAATAAAATAGAATAATAGAATATAGCGTTAGAAGGTCCTTAGAAGACATCTAGTTCAGCCCTTCCTCAGTGCAGGATCCACCAGACAGGTGATCTCCAGCCTCTGTCTGAAAATATCTAGTGAAAAAGAACTAATCACTTCATGTGGCAGTCTGTTCCACTGACTGCAGCTCAATCAGTCAGGAAGCTCCTCCTGATGTCCAGCCCAAACCTCCTTTCTTGTAGGTTGAATTCATTGGTTCTGGTTCTGCACCCGAGACTGATGTCATAAAGGGAGCTCAATCACCAGCAGCACTTAGGATTTCTCTCCCCTTCTTTTGTTGATTTCCAGATTCCTCTGAGCTCTATTTAAGAGGCAATTGGGGGAGGGGGGGAGTTCGGCTCTGTCTTTTCACTATTTTGCTAATTCAGCCTGGTGCAAAACCAGAAGCAGCCACAGAGTTCACGCCCTATTGCACAATTCTTTTTTTTTAAGTTTATTTGCTTATTGATTTATTTAATAATAAAATCCTGATGGGTTCCAAGTGAAGAACAATGACAAAACGTAGAATATGAAAAGAAGAAAAAACATGAATAATAGTTAAAACCTTATAATCAAGGCAGTTGGCAGCAGTATACCACAGTAGGTTATGTTAAAACAGAATAGATTTAACTTGTTTATGGAGAGTGAACAGGGTTGGGGCAATCTGTGCCTGTGGAGGAATAGGGTTCCAAAGGATGGGAGAAGGCTTGCTGTCCCATGTCCACATCCCATGTACCTCATGAGGAGGGGTTCCTCAAAAGGCCTTCTTCAGATGCCTGGTCAAGACAGGCAAGATGTATCTGTTCTGGCAAGATATATCTCCAGGGCTCTGCCATGCTGACCTTTAAAGGTAATGTCCACTACTTTGAATTAGGCTCAGTAGCCTACTGGTTTTATTCTATGCTGGTGGGATGTTCATCTAATTGCCCCATTTTGCACCAGCTAGAGCTTCTGGATTATCTCTAATGGCAGCCCCATCTAGAGGGCATTACAGTAGTCCAATAGGGTGGGGATCATGACATGAGTTACCATCACTAGGGCAGAGTTTGGTACAAGATGGGTGGCTATATAAATGTTTTAAATAAATAAATAAAATAAAAACTTGGTTAAGGTAGGTTTGTTGCTGGTGCACCAGCTGAAGCTGAGCAAAAGACCCACTGGCCAAGGCTTCCACCCACTGCCTAAGCAGGAGCCAAGAGTCCAGGAGGATCCCAAGTCATGTACCACCTCCTTCAGGGGCAGCATTATCCCACCCAGAGTAACTACTGGGGCCTATGTTGTTAGATTACCTGGAAGTCTGTTAATGAACAGTAGCTCCATCTTGACAGGATTTAATCTGAGCTTGTTTCACCACATCTAGATTCTCACATCTCCACACACCAGTTTGGGATGTTTACAGTATCTGTGGCCTGGTGATCACCACTTATTGATGACACCTCACCCTGAACTGACAGATAACCTTTCCCAATAGTTTCATGCAGATGATAAATAATGTGTAAGAAAGGCCTGAGCCCTGAGGAACCCACCAACAGGAACTGCCCACTTAGGTAGGGCAGGAACCACTGCAAAACACCTCACAATCTTTGCAGTGTTGGAAACTATGGGGTTTCAACCAGGCCTGTCTCACACGAGCACAAAGCGAGGGGTGGCTTT